GGGGTGCACTGTCCATAACAGTGTATTCGGCCAGGCCTTGTAACAAAGGCTGGGCTGAACCCATGTGGCTGATGTGTAGATCAAAGTTTGGGTCCCACGCCATACAACGAAGCCCAACTGGGCAGCAGTTTGGAAGGCTAAGTGAGCACATGTCCTTAATGGGCCTAAAGCCCATTTCGAACTGGGCTTATTCGATCAGTTAAAAGAGGGGGGCGAATTCTGAGATTAGGTTGGCTGACTTTTCCTAATGGGATTAGGAAAAAGGCTTATCTAATCTGCAGATAAGATAAGGTTTTACCCTTATCACTTAGAGGGACTTCTGATCCAAATATGATTTGGATCAGCAACTCCTAATGGGATTAGGAGCTTATCCCTTTAAGTCTATAAAAGGAGGAGGGGGTGGCAGCCTTAAGACACAACATCACAACCTGTCTTCAGAGCTGAAATCACAGAAGAGAGAATTCAGCACACCTGCAAAAATTCTCTCTTGTCGCCTCCTTCCTGCCGCCGCCACACCTGCTAGTTCGATCTCCAGTTCAGTGGGAGAAATCAAGATTGGATCTTCATATCAATTTCTTGTGAAGGGACTGATAAGAAACAGTGCTCACGTGTCATCCTGCTAATTCTTGCGAAGGATTAGGTTCTTGGGAAGAACACTATTGATTTTGTTCCATCCTGCACTACGCCATCTTCAGTAGAGTAATCTTTGGATCCTTCCTTGGGCGTGAACACCATCGTTGGGAGATAATATTTCTCCGTATCAGGTATAACCCTCTCCTACAGCTTTCCGTTCAGATTTGGTTCGATTCTTGGTTCAAGATAGATCCTTGAAAAATATGATTTTTCTAAAATAGGGAATTCGATTCCCAGTAGAGATGGGAGAAATTTTTGAAATTCACCCAGCCTGTTCCGCAAGATTCGGGCGTCCATAGGATGGATCTCCCATCCCTTCATATGATTCCTGAATCAACACAACATCTAGCTTTTCTTTTATGAGCATTTCCCTTATCACTCTTCTCTTCCTGGAACTCCCCAATCCCCATACATTCCAACTAATAATCTTCATTAAGAAACAACTTATGAGCAACCCTAGACACCATCTTTTGCTAACCTGACTAGCTTCCTTTTCTCCCATAACACCCGTTATCATAGTCCACTTCACATCTCAATTCCTCCACTTGATTCAACTTCTTCCTCCTTTTAGGTGTCCCTCCTTCAAGCTTTTTCTTAGATTTATCTTGTTCTTCCGCTGTTTTCTTTTTTTGACTTCTGTTCCTACTTCTCCTCTTTGTTGTTCTTTCGCCCGTTTTTACCCTTTCTCCCTCCCTCCCCCTTACCTAGGAACTAGGAACTATAGTGTCACCCTCCTGTTCCTTTTCAAAATTCTCCCCTAATTCCACCTCTACCAAGAGTCTAAAGGTCTGCAAGATTAATCCCCAAATCCTTTCCCCTTCATCCACAATATCATTCGGAGCCTCTACATCCTCTAAAGCCTCTGTTACTTCAATTGAATCACTAGGACAGGCAGCTTTTGGAAGTGTCGCTAGGATAGGCAGCTTTTGGATGAGTGCCAACTTCACTTGCAGGCTGAGACAAAAAAAAACAACTGGGGAAGGGGGCAGATTAGTATCAAAAATTCGGGGAATACAAGAATCAAGACAAAATATACTAGAAACACCAAAACCTGAAATGTCACCAATTCTGCCTAGGTTCCGAGGGAGTTTGCTGGGAGAATTCTCCTCAGGATCAACCTGTGTTGCACTAACAGAGGAACAGGGAGTGCCTGTTTCTTTGCCATTTGAATTAGAATCAGAGCTCACTCTAAATTTCGATGGCAGTGCCTTGGGCAACCCTGGAGCTGTGGGGATTGGTGGAGTTTTTAGAGGAAGGGATGAAGCATTAAGTGGGCTTTTAGAGGTCTAATCGGGGTTGCTGATTCTTCAAAAGCAGAAATCATGGCTGTRCTCACAGGTCTTCAAATTGCTAAAGAAAAGGGCTGGTCTGTTCTAACTATAAAAGGAGACTCTGCAAATACAATAAGATRGTTAGGGGAGGAGGGAGGCCCTTGGAGACTAGCTAATTACCTGTCTAAGGCCAGAGACATTTTGGACACCATGGCCATAAATCTAATCTGGATTCCCAGGGAACTAAATRCTACAGCTGATGGTTTGGCTAAATCRGGTACCTTTAAGGAAAATCTGTATAGTAAAAGAATTCTGCCTTTGTAATTTCTTTTGCTGTTTTTCTTGTAGTCTGTACATATTCTCATGCACCTTCTCTTTTCTTAATGCAACCAGTTATCTTTTCTCAAAAAATATTTCTATGATTTTAAAAGTTACAGGTTGGGAAAATAGATYAGTGACAATTAATTTATTTATGAAAACATGTCAAATATTACAAAAGTAAAGACACTTCCTCAGAGAAGCAATTCTAWTGAGCACCTTAGCTAGAAACCCCCTATCCCCACTTCTTCACAACATAAATATATTCATATTGGGGCCAACCAATGTTTTCTGGAAAGAACAGCATGTTTAATCATGCAATTTTTTTTGAAGAATAAAGAAACATAGGTAGTCAGATAAAAGAATAAGCTTAATTATAACACAAAATACACATGAAAAGAGGGTTTTTTTCAGCATCACATTAAAAGAGGATTACAGGCAATYAGACCCTAATTAGAAGCAAAATTATGCAATGGAATCATCTAAAGTCTATGAAGATGGAATTTAATATCACACCACCCACCATACTGCTTTTCTTATTTAAAAATAATGATTACATTTATGCTATAYCTTAGCAAAAAAGAGGATGTTCCAAAGGATTTACCCTCTGCTATTCAACCAGGCAGCAGACCAATAAGGCCAATATTCCACAAAATTACCTATGGCGATCCAAACTTTTAATGAAATCCCACCACACTTTGATCACGAATGAGAAACAGAAGACGTAAGGAATTTATCTTTGCCCATCAGCCCATTCCCCACATACATAACGTTTGTTCTGATGAGGAATTCTCAAGCTTTATCTATAACAAAATGATTTCATTAACCACTTAAAAGTACATGCATAAAAATCTAGGTAGAAAAATAAAGCCAGCAAAATGGGCCAAGCCTAGTCTTCCATAAAACCGTCCCCATGGCCCATGCTAAAAATCTAAAATGTCTCTAGGGTCTTGGATTCCATTATTTCCAGAGCTGGGAATACATAAAAAACAAGGATTATATTAGTATTTCACAATCTACTGGGTAGCTTTTTATGTGATTCAGATTTTCGAATGTTGTATCATATTCCAAATATTGTAGTTGAACCCATGTCAACAGTTCCAAATGCTAATGTCTATACAGTACAAGTAATCCCTATTTACCCCTTGCTTAGCTAAAGCATCCAACATCATATTAGCCAATCTCCTAACCCAATGCATCCTCAAATTAATATTTTTAGTAAGACGTTTCAAGCCCCTTAATCTCCTAAAAAGAAAATAATGTCACAGCTGACAGTATCAGGTCAACATCCATTTGTGATTTGCTCCACAGAGACGGATATTATGCATGCATAACAAGGACACACAAGCACAGCAAGAAAGAAATTTGTAAAAAGCCGCCAGCAAATCAAACAGCAATACCACATTTGTACTCATAACAAGGAGACAACCCTCAGAAGTCAGAAGCCTCCCCCTCCTCCACCCACATCTGTACTCTTCTGATGTGGATGTGTCGTAAGAGCTCCTGTGTTAGGCAGACCCTAACAACATGGCTGGATATGGTAGAGGATATGAAATTTACACTAAAAGTTGAAGTATGCAGCACAATAAAGCGCACTTGTACAGGTATCCAGGTATCATAATAGTATTCAACTATACATGTATGCAGAGCAAGACAACAAGATGATATCCTGCACAGGAATTGGACACAAGTTGCCTCAAGGTRTTCCATTMATAAATTAAAGGGAAAATTATCAACCCTAATAATGACAAATACTTGCAGCGAGTAGAAGGAGACATTTAAGTGAGACATATTTAAACAGAAGCACAATTTATTGATTAAAAAATTAAATAGGAGTCAGTTTCCCTGAGTTCCTTAAATCATGAGGCTAGACCCCACTTTCTTCAAATCTATAACCAAGGCAAAAGTTTTAAAAACTAAAAAAAACATAAACACAAAAGCAGAGAGAGAGAGAGAGAGAGAGAACCAATGTAGTTCACAAAAGATATCACTGTTGCACACCAATTTATGAAACACGGGGAAGAGGAAGATCTATGAGCATTGAGAATGATATGTTGCTAATCCAAATAGTTTAAACTACCCAAGAAATATCAGAATCARATATAATTAGATTATTAGAAGCAAATAATAATGTGTTATCATATCTTGCAATCCATAGAGTTACCAATAATTGTAACATATCTTGCATTGGCATCAAGGAAACAGACTACAACATATGGCTCAAGAAACAACTTCACCTTTCTGGTGCAGTTGAAAAGAGATCATCAAGCTCCACGGGTTGCAAGGCCCCATCCTAATAAATACAAGGTCCAGAGTGTCAAAGCTTCAAAATCCTTGTGGTTATGGAATATAAGACTTGCTAGCTTTAAAAGTAAACCAATAATTGTTAAGGCCTCTTACAACACTATATGGCAAGCTGAATCTACCATCCCATAGTAAATGCAAGTTGTAGTCTAGGGAATCCACTGTAAAATTCTATTTGGGTGTAGACAGATTGACAATACACTTCTTCCTTGCACTTACAGCAGTGTTTTAAAAGCAGAAGGTGCAAGAAAGCACAAATGGCTTTTTGCAGCCAATGCACAAGGCGCAACGCGAAGACCGCACCTCTTTGAAGCAAAGCGCAAATTATTTAAAATTTAAAAAAAAAATGCAAAAAGAGACAACATGGTAAAGGAACAAGGAGGAGAGCAATGCATACACCATCAATGTCAAACAAGGTGAAGATACCCTTCAGAAAATCCACAGCTTCATTTGTCAGCTCCACACTCTACAAGATTGAGATTAGGAAATAAATATTTCACACATTTTCTTTCTTACAGGTAACATAACTTTTTTCAGAATAAGATAACATAAAATTTAAGAGGGAAAAAAGGATATAAGGGAAGCCCATGCCCAGCTCCCAGAAAGAAGGAACAAAATAAGCTCTAGCATAGGCAGCTTTAGACCTCAATATATCACTTCCCTTGGTGTTCATAGGAGACTTGTACCCCTACCCTACACAACTGTCATTCACTAGTTTGCTAGCATGCTCAACAATACATAGAGGGAAGATAAACCAAATTATTCAACTACAGTAAAAAGATTGTAAGAGAGAATAGGTTTCAGATGCAAGTAGTCAAGTAGTAGCATATTTCTAATTAGAGGCCAGGAAGTGAAAACAGCATATGGAATCTCATGAAGCAGAGAAGTCAAATGCAACACAGTTACACAGACGCCCCACATTCCACCTTCCACCATGGAATCATCTACATCACATGTCATGGATATGATGAAAGCTAGGAATCAATTAGCAGGGTGGCTCTTTAATTGGTAAAAGATATTCCAGAGTAGCAGATTAAGACACCTTAATCTTCTGACCACTGATTAAGAAGTCTTTCCCAATCAGGATCTCTTTTCAAAGAGTGTGAATGGCTGAATATCGAAAATGTGCAGCAATTTAATCCAAACATAAACGAGGTCTTGGATTTTGAAAACACATAAATGCATGGCTGTCACTTTTGAGCAGAAATAACAATGCAAGATCTTTCTAGAATCTACAGCAATTGCAGGTGATTCTTCTCAAAAAAAACATTCTTTTTGAAAAAAGAATTGCTATTCAGAACAATTTCTTTCATTAGTCTTTAAAAAAAAATATCTCGCAGTTTAGCATATTGTGCCTCAAAACCAGCATTGCATGTAAATAGAAGAATTTTTTGTTCCAGACGCTCCATCAGATTCTAACACTCCATAGATTCTTGAGAGATAGCTCTACATAAAATTTCCTTTCTCTTCTTGCTTATTTGACATAAATGAACAATTCATGTACAAAATGAATGTCGTGTTTCCTATAATACATTATCAAGTAACAAAGATAAAATAGTAGACCTTTTTCCTGTAGGTGTATAATGTTAAAATTCTAAAACAATGGAATACTTTATATTTTTTAGGATGTATCCATGAGTCCTTGTTTTCTCAGTTTTCTGGGTCAGACACCAGCTACATGTTGGATTCCGATACCGGTGTCAGCATCCATGCAACACTACTCAAAAGAGGCAGTGTTTGGTAATGTGGTGTTGTGTTCCCATTTTGACTTCTCGCAAGCACCACATAGCTAATTTGACTTTAACATTCAAAAAAAATGTATTTGATTGACCAGATTTAACTTGAAACAGGAACACCACATTTTGCATCAGATTTTGTGCATGAGGAACACTTCATCTTGTGTCTAGGGGACATTCATACATAATTTGTCCTAATGTGACACCTAATGGCACCTATATATTTGAATTTATAGTAATAAAATACTCTGCAGTATATTTCATCCCTAAATGTCTTTCTTTCTCTATTTCCAATGTGTTTGTAATGCCATAACCTAAGCTTAAATGTTCCACCCTGTAATCACACAGTGCTAAAGATCTGATCTTGCATTAGTTTAACCCCCAATAGAATACAGATCCACATCAATATAGAATTAATCATGCAGTTTGGCATGTGCTCTAAGGGTACTTTAACAATATAAAAAAAAAACATATATGATTAAAAATTATATCGTATATGCTAGGGGTGCAACTTGGGCGGCTCCAACCCGAGCCCGAACCGGCCCAACCTAGAATTTTACACAAGTTGGGCTTGGATTTTCAGTCCTCGGGCCCAAGAAGTTGGGCTTTTTATTTTTTGGGCCGGGCTTGGGCCTAGCCCTTAGGTAGCCCGAACCCGACCCAAGCCCAGTCCAATTATATACATTTATACATGTAAATGTTGCATGCATACATACATACATACATATATATATACATACATATTTGTATATATAACATTTGTATACATATTTACATACATAAATAAATATATGTATTGTTGGAAGATTTCTGTAATTATGTATTATATTTGATTATGTGCTATTTTAGGTAATTGAGAGATTTGTGAAATGTACAAATATTTTTAGGAATCAGTTTTATTTTTCCTTTAATTAGGGAGATTTGTTACCTAGTTTGTATCCTAGAGAGAACTATAAATTTTGATGTACAGAAGCATAAAATAATATCCCATTCTTCATATCTTTCTGTCTCTTCTTTATGGTATCAGAGCAGAAAAGACCTAGGGTTTGTTTCTGCGTTTCTGTCCCTAAAAAATGTCCGAAGTCACGTCCAGTTCTCAGCCTCCTCAGCCTTCTCAGCCTGAGCCCCAGATTATCCGGAATATGCCTGAAAATCACCCTATTCAAATCACTACAATCCGACTAAATGGTGACAACTTTCTCCGGTGGTCACAATCTATTCGCATGTATCTCGGAGGGAGAGGGAAAATTGGCTATATCACAGGAGATGCGAAGAAGCCTGATGTGAAGGATCCAGCCTATGTTGTTTGGGATGCTGAAAATTCCATGGTGATTACGTGGTTGGTTAACTCCATGACTGAAGAGATAGGGGCAAATTATCTCTGCTATTCTACAGCCAAGGAATTATGGGACAATGTCTCACAGATGTACTCTAGTTTAGGGAATCAATCCCAAGTGTACGAATTAACTCTACAACTCGGAGATATTCGCCAAGGTGAGAACTCTGTGACCAAGTATTTTAATTCTCTTAAGAGAATTTGGCAGGACCTGGACTTATTCAACGATTACGAGTGGAAGTCACCCGATGACTGCAATTATTACAAGAAGATGGTGAATGTTGGCTGAGTCTTCAAGTTTCTTGCAGGTTTAAACGTTGAATTTGATGAGGTTTGTGGCCGAATTATTGGAAGAAACCCTCTGCCCCCAATCGGTGAGGTATTTGCAGAAGTACGTAGAGAAGAAAGCTGAAGACAAGTGATGCTTGGAAAGAAGGCTGCAGGTACAACCGGACCTGTGGAAGGGTCACCCTGATTAATTCCGAGGCCCAAGTCAGTCGAAAGTCATCCCAAAATCAGCGGGTTGGAGACAAGAATAACCTGCGCTATGACTACTGTGGGAAACCTCGCCATACCCGAGAGAATTGCTACAAACTGCACGGGAGACCATCCAATGGCAGGGCGAACAAACCTGGTGAACAGAATATACCTACAGCAAACGAGGCTGAATCATCTCCATTCAATAAAGAGCAAATAGATCATCTTCTTAAA